CGTCGTCAGCTACTCATACCCAACGCATGTGTTGCCCCAGAAATTGGTGCCCCGCTCGCGTTTCGAACCCGCGATCTTGCTAGTTAGAAGTCCAACGGTCTAACCGCTGCCCCACGGGCTCGCTGTCTTGTCGTTTTTGGTTGGTAATATACAATAACAGATAGGCGTACACCAATCAGTTAGAGGACACACTTGTCCGTTCATGGTGCCTTTGGAGCTCACACTTGAGCCTACGCTGTAAGGCGGGTAATAATATAGGCATAAGGACATTACGGACAAAGACCAGGGAGACTAGGATGGCCATTTCTGGTTTATTAGCTGCCGTCAGCTAGTTATACCCAGACCCCTTTTGTCCCAGAAATTGGTGCTCCGCTTGAGTTTCGAATCCGCGACCGTGTTAGTTAGAAGTCCAACGTTCTCGCCATGGGCTCGACAAATTAGAGAGCGTCCAGTTACCAGAGTAATATCAGCTTTCGTATAATACATTGCAAATATACAGTCAAACTTTCCTAGTCGTGATTGGCGAAAGAGACTACCTTGGTGATAAGTTACATAGATGAAGATGAAAAGAAAGATCTTCGAAAAATCGAGTTGGGATGTATAGTGAATCTACACTCATGTTCTAGATGGTTGTGTCTAAACTACTTTAAGTTTCGGATAACCAACTAGTTATAAAATGCCGGTATTCCCCCTAAAATCCAATCTTTCAGAATACAATGGTGCCAATACCTAGAAGAAGACAAAAACCAGAACGAGTGGTGTCAAACGGAATGTTTCACCGATTCGGGAAGTAGAGCTTAGCGAGTAAGGGGTACACTTTTATTGCTTCCCATTTTCCGTGCTTCCTAAGATGCTAAAGGAATGAAGTATGTCCTGTTATGGAAATGGGCATAAAAGAACGTATCTACTACTTTAAACAGAGGGGTCAAACATATAATCAGAAAAAGTCTCATTTGCTGTTGTATAGCTATAGCGACGTAAGGAAAGACTTGCGAGGTGTGTATTTTCAGCACCAGTAAACTTAAAACATCAGAAGATTAGAAGACGCCATGCAAGAATATGTTCCAGGGTTGAAAAAACGTGGCTGATACGAGAAAACTGGAAATTTAGGTTTTACACGGACACTTTTTACGGTGGCTTTCCCGATTGCTATAAAAAAACAGCAATCGTTCGGACCTTACGAGAAAAAACACTAGGTTTGTCTCTTATTTCAAAAACTGAGCAACCGAGGCAGACCATCCTTCATGATCGCACAAAGTTATAGAGTCTTAACACAGCTCTGTTAAAGGTGGAAGAATGTGTTTCATAAGGCACTTGGTTTTAGCATTGTACTTTACGCCCTCCAAGTGAGCAGTAGTGTTAACAAATACTGACTCACCTGAACAGTGATTAGTCGCAGGACCGATGCAAGTGCCTTGGCGCTGACATAATTCGACAGCTGTCGAAGGCAAGCAGCTAAGACGAGGAGACGCGGTCGTGGCAGGTCTCTGGC